TACTAGAAGCTGTTCTGACTGTTTTGAATGACATGCTTGTAAATGCTTCTAGTCCTGAATCTGAATGGCAGAAAAACATAGAAGCTTACCTTAAAAAAGCAGACGAGGAAGGTATATCTATATCTTATTCAGTTAGAAATCAGAGAATGAGGTCTCAAGAAACTGAAAGTTACAAAGAGACTTTTGTTAATAGTTTTTGCAAGCCTTACTTGGAAGCTTTGAAGAGGAACCTGAAGGCTAGATTCCCTCCAGAAGACATCAAATTTCTTTCTAGTTATCAACTCTTTGATCCTACAGCTACATTAAGCTCAGACAAGTTACACACACTCTTGAACATAGCAGCAAAACAACTTGCATCAGCTACAGTAGAGCATGAAAGTGAAGTTTTCTCTGCAATTAGATCTGAGTACTTAATATTTAGTAGTACAATAAGACAGAAAGGTTTTGAAAACACTTCAGATGTAATGAAAGATGTTGCTGCTCAGCTGCTACCTGGTCATACTACTGTCTTCCCTCTTCTAGCCAATTTGGCCTCTAGTTTGCTTGTTATACCAGCATCTACAGCTGATTGTGAGAGAGGATTTTCTGCACTAAAGCGAATAAAGACTTCAACTCGTAATAGGCTATCTTCAGGTACACTTGAAGACCTAATGATGATTGATTTAGAAGGCAAAGATGTGTCTAAATTTGATTTTAAACGAGAAGGTGCGGTATAAAAGGCGGGGCCCTGGGCATGGTGGCTTCCGTTTTATTCACGTGTAAAAATGTCGGCTCTAGATGGTGTTGCTTCTTCAAGGAAAAACGCAGGAAGAAAGGGGTTTTGGTACCAAATGGACTTCCATTTTACTCTCAAAGAAGACAAGGACCAGTTCTAGTTAGGCTTGATCGAGTTAAGGGGTCTTTAGGCACTAAAAGAAGGCGCTGGAACTGCTGTTCATTTACTCGCCGATTTAGTTTAAAAAGAGAATCATTCTGAGGCTCTATTACATGATACTAGTAGTTCTTCTGCTATGCTCAATAGTTCAGGTAGTTATAATGTGTTTAAATTAGTGATTATATATAAATAAGGTATGGGTGATGGGGACGAAGAGCAGCCATTTTGTGCGGCATAGATATAGGATCGGCTGTTGGGAAACATACATTAGTGTTAGCGTGGTATGGTTGACCAAAGGATGATCAGTTACAGACAGGTATTCTTTGTTAGCATTATTATTATTATTACTATTATTATCAACATCATCAAAACTATTCATAATTTTAGATGGTCATGTGATTTGTGCTGAATTTCGATTCAATCCCAGTTGTGAGTTCTGTAATCGTAACTCAAGTTTATTAGTTACTAGATACAGAAGTAAGTATTATTTGTAATGTAAAGTAATCATATGGTGGCATTAATATTTTTAGGCTCGTACTAGCATTTTTCTTGTACTGGTATATTACAATCACAGTACTGCCATATTTTTGTCGGCATCACTGGGCACAGTTGGGAAGAGGTACACAGATACAGGAGGCTCCTCACCATCCCAATATCTATTCAACCCTATATACATAATGTTTATATTTTTAAAAATTTAGAATAATATTTTTGTATTTACTTTTTCCAGTTGATCGTTGAATGTTACAACTGCTACCAGTACTAGGATCTGAATGAGGACCATGTTGGGGTCTTTTGCTGGAACCACTTATACTTGATGATGGTGGCTGATATATGGTAGTTGGCAGGGCTGTCTGGTCCCAGTGGTGGCGGTTCTTGGGCTGGTTTTCTGTGTAGTAGTGAGGGCTATTCCCTTGCCACTCTCACTTATTACCTGCCTGACAGCATCATTGCCCGTGTTTCTTAGGCTGTTGGCAGATTTTCAGATTATACAATATAATATTTGATAATAATGTAAAATTATTACTTCAAGTCAATTATACCATTTCTCTCCTTGCTATGCTTTCTAAGTGTGCTTGTAGGTTAACTCTCTCACCTTTGCTAATTTTAATGTTTTTATAATGCGTTTTGCTAGTGATTTAGCCATGATAAGAACAGTGCCAGTGCGGGAGCCATTTTGTTATTTTCAAATTTCATTCAATCTGGCCGCCATATTGTGCCCAGGGCACCTCCTTTTATACTGTGATCGACGGAAGCGATTTCATGACGTTGCGTGAATGGTTTTATAGTGCACCTTCTTGTTTAAGGCTGTCATCAATGCATGGGCTTCAATTAAAAAACGACGATTGTTCAGTTAAGACTGTTAAGGACAAACACATGACACATGTAATGTATGATGTAATTATATTATTATAAAAATAGTAATTTTTTGTCATTGTAAGTAAAATGGGTGGGAATAGAGGTGTGGTCAATGAATATTAATTAATTAATGGGTGTGGCTGCACTCTTTACTAAATTTCTGGGGGAAACACAGATCAGACCCCAACGTAGACGCATTAGTACAAGAAATAATTCTTCAGTCGGTGGGAGTGATCGATTACGCCTCTTTACCTTATGTGATACTATCTTGCCTGATGAATAGCATAGATGTTCAGCAGCAGGTCCCAGGAAACTATACAGAGCTTGGAAAGCTTGGTAAGTCTGGAAACCAGTATAGTACATTATCTGAGTGTTATTATCCTTTATATTCAATAAACAGAATTTCTGGTCAATCAGCAGTTTATCTTTTTCAACCAACAGTTTATCTTTTTCAGTCAAAATTCCCTGTAATGTGTCAATTCTGTCTTGTAGAGCCTTTTCTTTATCTGACACAGTGTTCTCTGTTTGAACACAGGCATCTCTTCGTTCTGTGGGAGTAACAGAATCCGCCGCCATTGCTTCCCTGTCTTTGCTAGCACTGGTACTGGGAATGAAGAGTCTATTCTTGGGTGGCCTATGACTTTTCGTCGGCTTACTGAAACTTGGAATACGAACCGATGGCACCTAATCTTTCCGTAGTAACCGACCATTTGCTTGTATGAAGTGCTCACTACAAATACGAGTGTGCTTGTTAAGTTGAAGGTTTTTCCTACCAATAGCATGGACCCACTGCTTCAGTAACGATTTTCTCTTAAGAGGAAGTGAAAAAAAGGAAAGATGGGCTTCTCTAGTAGAATTGTTAGAACATCCAGGTACACAGCAATCATGAACCATGTTATTGAGATTCTCATTCCAATTAATTAAACCCCCCTCGACCGTATTTTCTTATTAACCGAAATTCAAAAATGAATATGTGCCATTGAATTGTCATAATGATAAATAATTTGACCACGCCCGAACCATGCAGGCGGGCCTGCATGCAACTGTTGTTGTGTTGTAGCTAGCTGCTATGGCTTGTGTAATCTGTGCTAAGGCAACTGTACCTCAGAGAAGAGCAATACTGCAGTCCAAGTGTAATTCCCAGCTGATTCATGCTCTTTCTTATTTAATTGAAAAGGTTCTTCAGATGGAAGAAAGTCCTACAGTAGTAGATATACACAATCTTCTCATATCAGATGAGGCTGGAACACTTACTTACCTCTGTTCTAAATGCTGCACTAAGCTATCTGATTTAGTGATGTAGAAAAGAAGCTCATTGATTCCATGAAGGAAGGAAACATTACCAATAGAATTGCTGGTTTGGTGGCACACACTAGTAAGGCTCAA